ATACCCTTCAATCCGTCTGGAATACATCATTGTAGTTTGTTAGTAAATTTGAAGTTTTAGTGTTGATCTTTCACCTACATTTTCCGTTAACTTGGTCATTAACTCATCATTAGGAAAACAGCACCATAATGACAATCAGCTATGAACTTCGATTCACCATTTTCCACCGTGAACAATAAACCTTTACGCGCTATCACGTCCTGACCCAGTAGGAAATCCGTATTTAACATGTTATCGGCAACAATATATACCAACGGTAACTTTAATACTTCCACTCATATCGACTATAACACACTCTTCATCGTATATCTTCCACCGCTTATACCGTTTAAATGTATACAACACTCTTCATACTTCAGTTTCAATATATCTGCTTGTGACTTTCGAACTAAACTGCACTCACTACCGGTACGATTAATGCTTCAAACATTAGGCCATTTACGTTAATACTCTTAATAACACATTTTTCATTTTCTTCATTTCAGCTTTTCGAACGTTATGCGTAGACTGCTTAAGACCACAATTGACCGGTTCCCTGTTTGTGTACTTTACCACAATCAGGGCATCTCGACGCTTCTGCTCTTTGTACATTTATTTGATATGTGGCTCAACTCACCACAATTATAACATATAATTTGCTTGTTTTCATCAATCGTTACTCTGAGGCGGTGCGTTCACACTTTAGCTGACTTTCAAAATTATGTTAGGGTGGTATTTTGATATGATTTGTTAGCCATTCTTCAACTATTTCGCGCATTTGTTTAGCATTTTCAAATCTTGCGCTGCTATAGCAACAAGTCACGATGATTTAACCCTTGCCGTATATTGAATAATACAGGCTCACCGTTGAAAACGTTTTCCATGCATAAACTCAAACAGTAGTCAGATATACGTTCACCTGTTTTGCGTACCGACTCATTCATATTCGATGCACTTGCGCTTCATCGTATTCAAAAATCTTTTTCAATTCCGCAACGAACTCATTCCATGTCGTGTACAATTGGTAATTTACCAACATTGAGCTATCCTTTAATCATAAACTGCTAATAAAACACATTTTCGTCTAACTGGTAAGCGCTTAACACATGACTCGATCAATAAACTGTTGTACTGTTAACGACTGTGTATTTGTGGAACAACCGAATCATGTCTGATATTCTTTAACGACTGAAAACCTAACATACGTATTTGTAGGCTTGACGGCTGCGACTTGTCTAACACGTTTTGGTATTGATTATTTACGCTCGGTTGTAATACAATTGTCACTTATCTGTTGCCTGTTTTGCTGTAACATGCCTACAATAGTTTCCATCATAAGTAAGTTGATCTGCTCCTGCAACCCAGAATTCATAAATCATTGGCGCTTCTATTTCATCATTCCCATATAGTTCCATTAAACGTAGTTCCAATTCCGCTCTTGTACCAGACGTAGATACCCTTTTCCCGCAAGATAACTTTTAATTGATCAGTTTTAATTCACTTATTTTCGGCATTGTTGATTTTTATATTTGTATCGTAGATTTATATCAGTTTCGTTTTTAATGTTATTGTAACTCTCGTTTACCATATGTTCACACTGTTCTTATGTTTTAGATTTGTTTTGACTACAAATCACAACTCGTTGATTTTCGTTTCGTTTCTTTCTTTTGTTATTTCGTTTACTCGTTTATTTTTAAAATTCGTTTCTCGTTATATAACGTAGCTCGTTCACTGATATCGTTTAACATTGCTTCCTCTCTTCGTTGATCGTTTAGTGGTTCGTTGTCGCTGCAGATCGTAGATACATATTTACATAAATGATAGCTTTCCGTTTCACCTCGATGCTTCGTTTGTTGACGTGATTGGTTTTGCTGATTACATGACTGATTCTTTCGCACTCATTATCAAAGTCCTTTAAATGCTAATCGCCGCTTGCTTGCAGTAGGGAACCAGCGCTAGGCTCCCACTTTTACTATACTTTCTTATTTGAACAACTTTACATGCGTTTGTGCGTTCACGATACTTTTAGCACTCAGATTCATCCCACTTCTGAACTGAAAGTTGCGAATGTTTTCAACTTTTGATTGGATATCTTTATTGATATATATATAAGAACAAAATGTGCTGCTATTAAAGCAACGTTCCCATCAGGATGTCGATCTTGATGACGCTGAATGCTGACCCCGATTGTAATTGATTTGCCACAGGGTGGTCATTCGTTTACACTAGTAATAAGTCACTCAGTTAGTATAAATAGCAGATGTATGTAACAAGGTAGTCTTAAGAATATCAATAAAGACACATTTCGTGCAGCTCAAAAGATATTTTTCGACTCATATATAGTAAACGTATTAACTCGGGAGCCACCCTTTTCGGCTGGCTCGCTTTAATTTAACGATTGGTTTGATTTGACATTTGCTTGATCTTCTTAGCTTTGCGTTTACGTCCAACTGGATTATTGGGCTGTTACAGTGGTGCAAATGGCCAGTTTTTCCGCAGTGAGCAAAACACACCATCATTTTTCCTATGCGCTTCCTTTGATTTTCCAGTGCTTTCTTCATGTCCATTTTTCAAGTTAATTCACCCAAGTGTCCTCTATTTCTACTTTGTGAGCTTTAAATGTTGATTGCAAAGCAGAGATGCGTTCTTGTGTCAGAGCATAGAAACGGTTTCTGCAAACGTCAATTTTGGACATGCTAATGCAGCGAAGCGTGTAGTGTTATCTCGTATTCTTGACGAAAGTCTGAATTTCATGTCCTCGATGTATTCCACGGATTTATGTGCATAAGTTGCGATAACCTTCAATCTCTGGTACCTGCAGAGACTCATTGGCTTTCTGGCGGCGATTTCGCAACTCGATTTGAAAGATCTGCTTCCTGTGCTCACTACCATACCGTCTTTCTATGCACCCATCAACGTTTCATAACTACTCGCCTCGCAGTTTGAATTGGTCTGTAATCTCCGCTGCAGATCCTTTAATGCAACGAACAATGCAGCCATTTGTCTTCAGTTCCAATTATTTGAAGATGCCTTTTCATTGAAGCTTAAAACGTGGAACGGAACAGTGCCATCAAAGGATGGAGAGTTTTACTTGGCAGAAGCTGACGACATAATTGGCCGATTTAATTGTAGCTCACGAAGACGATCTCAATTCATCCATTTCAGTTTTAATTTTATCCCGTTCTTCCGAAATCTGTGAGACACTTCTATTTGTAAGGTCACCTGCGATATCCGTGCATCCTGCTCTTTCAACTGTGAGGACACCTGCGCTGATATACGTGCATCTTGCGCTGAACTGCTCTTCCAAATGCGTTGACAATCGCGTTTCTAACCGCGTTGACATCTGAGAATACGTGTATCCTGCTCTTTAAATGTCGACATTTGCGTCCCCATCTGCGATATTGCAGAAAAAGCATGTTCATGTTCACCATCTTTGACGAGCATTGAGTTCTTCCTTCTAGCTTTGTTGTCTTCTTCTAATCCAGTGAAAGACATATCTTCAACATTATGTTTTCCGCTCCATGGTCTCTCTCAACCGTGATTGTAATCAGTAATCCATTTATCGCCGAATTTATTTGACAATCCCACTTCTGACACCAATTGTAACAGATTTCTCGATAAATCGTTCACCTGTAACTCACTTGAGTCGATCACTGAAGTTAAATAAAAGTCCCAATTTAATGGCTACACACTTATCTTTATTTCTAATTAAAACAACTTAACACTTATTGCTCGTTATTCGAGCTTACAACTTTGCTTATAGTTTCTGTTTCATTTATCAAAATTCTAACTAGAATCGTTTCTGCACAATCCGGCAGCCCTTATATAGTAAATCTGTAACAAAACATTGCTTCTAGAACATTCTGGCCACTACGAATTCGCTAACTACTTTACTACTAGAACATTCTGGCAACTACGAATTCGCTGTCTAGTTGCTTCTGGCAATTTATCGTCGATTCGATTTTGTTCTATCATCCGTGTTCGTCACAATATGGTACATGGTTTCCTGAGACTTTCTTATAGTACGGAAATCATATGTCTGTCTTTAGCATAATGGCTGATTCACATATAACTTTTGCTTCGTACACAAATCAAAGCAAAGCAAAATGTTTAGTAATTCATATTTGAATTCGAAATATATTTTTGAAAATATGTTATATCATGTTTCCACAAAAATTTTAAGTGATTAGACTTGATTTAATAGATTTATATCTTACCTGATAGTAGCTGCTAGCTATTAGGAAGAAGAAAATTGACAATTACTGTCGCAAAGACCGAAATTACAAAAAAATAAAGAAACGCAAAACCAGCAGAAACTAGCAAGAAAATATCAAAATGTTTTTTACAATTCCTTGATATCAACACTGGAAAGTAAATCAATAGAATTTCTATTTTCACAATTCAAAACAAAGAAAAAAAACAAAAACAAAGCAAATGCGTCAAATATCGCTTGCATATTTTATCCGCCCAAGGGCTATTATTTCGGAAACCGTTACAACAATAACTGTCCTCACTGCCGCTGAGATTGATCAAACATCTGTTTTTGACTAGCCGATTGAAGATGTGGCATTTTTTCTCGCCATACTCCATTAGATCGGCCTTAGCTGCCTCACTCCAGATTACCTTTTTTTTTGTGCTGTTTTTACTGGCCATTTTCACTTATTTAATTGATGTTGTCAAAAATCAAAATCAGCTGTGTTAAAACAAAATGTGAACAACAGAACGGTAAAGTCGCACAGGGAAATTTCGCGTAGATTAGATTCAAATATTCTCGGTGACAAAACTAAAAAGTGTCAGTTTTGTAAGGAGAAATCCTGCTAAGTCCAGTAGATTAGTAAGATAATCGACTCAACAGCCTAAATCTTGTGATTTTAGTAGGTCGGAATATAGTATTTTTTTAGTTTGCTGAATCTGTTAAGCTGAAAATAACAACAAACGACATATTAAAGGAAAGCAAAGCGTTCATATACCTTATGTTTGGTTCGCTTTGATGATAAATTAGTAATTGGTAATTATGTTGTCAACAGTAAAATTATTTATTTAAAAATTACTCAAATATTTGCAGGCAACGTTATTCTGTTTGTCTCACTGAAATTTTTTTACCATAAACTAATAATTAAGATTATTTCACGAAGTAACAGAAGTGTTTGAAAGTTTTTCTATGTTGCTGCTTTTCATTTTATAAGTAATTTTAATTTACGTCTTCACGTAATCTCGTACTCTATGATTCTTACTACTAAATGTTACAAAATTTATTCGTTCATAACGAATTTTTATAAAAATTCACCTGTATTAATTTAAAGTATAGTATATCATAAATTCATTTCAAACTCTAATTTCGCATAATTTTCAACTTGTGTCCAATTTTTTTATTTATTCCATGTCGTATCCTGAATTCTGATATATGTGTTCGCTATTGATGGGACAAATTACATCATCTCTCGTAAACGCTTTCGAATTTTGCTTTTAAAAGTATATATATGATATTGACGAGAGCCGAATGGCAAAACTAACTGAGATTTTATACATCTGAACTTAAGTCAAGAATTCTGAAGTGGATTCCGTATGATGCCATAGAATTAAATGAATATGATCAAACACGCCAAAGTTTCAGAATTTGAAAAAAATTGTTTCGTCATGGTGCGTATATCACTTTTCAATTGGGCAGGCAGTTTTCAATATAGATTTTTATTTTATCTAGCATATTAAAATTACAGCATAATCTAGCTTTTTATAAAATACAGTAATGCCATGGGTTTAAATATTTCGAATTATTTTATTCGAATGAGCTCATTGGATGATTAGTTTTGAACTCATCGTAAGTGAGCTTAAGGTCCGTACTATCGTTATTCTATCGGAGTGAAAGCGCATCTCTCTAAAGGCTGCTCTTCGAAACCGTACATCCACTAGTATCTTAATGGCTGCCACCTCTGCTTCAGAGCACCCCTTTTCCAGCGGTTTCTCCCCGCCCACATATCACTCACAGGTATGTGTGCAAAGAAGGAACAAAGAGAAAGCTGAGCGATGCAGTGGTCCAGTTATAACAGCTTTTACCGCAATGCACCTGCTAACGATATCTACAGGTGCTACGTGTAGAATGGCATTGGTGCTATTGTTGGTATTGTTCAAGGTGCCATGTTTCCAGATGACTGTTTCGTAAGTTACATATGAATGCAGAAAATTCTCACGGGTCTCTCTTTAAGTACAGTTTTGCAGATTCATGAACGATTTGTTTAACACAACCGGTAACTTCAGCTATTTCTTTCGTCTAGTGCCGGTGCTTCTATGGTCTATTCAGAATTTAGCAAATATTTTACGAATGGTTGCATCATCTGACCAAAAGGCTGTTGAATCTTGCGTATTGAACATTTTAAATAGGGGTTTATAAGTTCTCCAAGATCTCTTTTTACCACTAACGAAAACAACAGATATAATCTGACCTACCATATAAGGTTCTTTGAGAATGAGACAGTAGCAGCAAATTCGTTTGCACGGGAGAGATTGTTTCGTCTTTCCTCACACGTCTATTACAATCAAATTGGCATGTTTAACAAGCTAAATTTAGTGCAGTTGATTACGAAGGAGGCTTCGTGGCTACCTGGTGTGCTGGGATGTTGCTCAGATACCTAATCATAATTCTTGTCCCCGAACTATATTACGTTATTATGTATTTATTGAGAACATACTATTAGTATAGCGCACCAACACAACTATCGAAATGTGATAACATATCAGCTGGTATTGACATTAATAAATGCTTTTATTTACAAATGGCAATATAAATATGTATGTAAGTTGAGGTTTAAAGAGAAATCAAGTTGATTTGAATTCCATTACTTTGTTATATAGATATCAATGACTTCAATTGGGTTTATATTAAAAAAATAAAGGAAGTGCCACAAACGCCGCAAATGATGTTTTTTTATATAAACAATTGATTATAGCCAAATAATAGAAATAGTGAAGGAGATTTGAGCGGAATGGCGTTTAAAAGATAAAACAGCTGAAAGTTCAAATCGTTTAGCTCTAAAAAGTTTTATTTTTAATAATGGCGAATGTGGATGTCGATCATGGTCATAACAACAATGATATCAAAAATATAAATACCACACACGATATAATCCCACCTAATTCAGAAAAGCCTTGCTGGGAGTGGCAGGTAATTCCAAATGCAATATCTTTAATCATTTTAAATTGCTAGAGTTTTTTTTTCTGTAGGAAGAAGATGTTGTAAAATGGGCTGAAGTTCAAAGATTTGACTACAATGTTATAAACTGTTTGGTAGCGGAACATATTGATGGGAATGACCTCCTAGAATTAACAGAAAATGACATTCGAGACTTTCGTTATCATCTTAAATACAGCCTTACTATGAGTGATATCAAAAAACTTTGGGTTGCTGTTCGCAAACTTCAAAATAAAAATTGTACATTAGCTCACAATTTTATGCAAAGAAACACATTAGGATTGGCTGATTGCTTCTCGTTTAATCGTCCGTATATACATCAACAATGCGGAACATCTTCCTGCTGTAATTTAAATCTTTGCAGTTGCCATGTTGAACGCAATGGTGTTGGGTCAAATTGTTATTATTCAGATGTGTGTTCTCCACCGGTTCCTCCAACTTTAAATGGCAGTACTGAAGAGGATAACATGTCTCCGCCCATGTCTGTCGATGGCCGAGCTACTAATATACCTCCAGAGTTATTCAAAACAGCTATTAGTTTGGGTAAGTTAAAGCAGATAGTGAGATTAGACCAAAAATTATTATAACATTTATTAATAGACACCTTTACCGAAAAATATTTTTTGATTCGCGACATATCCTAATAAAATTAGATTATCATGTTAAGTTTAACATAATATGTGATGTTCAAAATTGAAATAGGCCCACACCTTCCCATATGTCCCATATATGCAATATAATTATATGTGACCCTATAGTTAATTTTATGTTTGATTTACCATTCAGCATTTGAAGTATCAATATAATTTACTGATAATAATTCGCTTAAGATATTGTGTTTGGGATCCAATTATAAGTGATATTTCGCGTTTTCTTTTTTTTTTTGTAAATAAAATAGTGAATCGAAGTAATTAATTTAATTAATTAACTTCGCTTAGTTCATCAACAGTGTATTTTTGTTTTAATTTCACTTTATTAATTTTTGCGTTAACTTAATACTCGACACCCAAAGAGCGTGTAGTAGATAACTCGTGCGGCAGCTGCTCTGAACCCGTTCGAAAGCGTGAGGTGCTTTATATGCCAGATGTGGTTTCATTCAATATACCTAAATTTAAATGATGACGAATTTAAAGTGATTGCCAGAAACATCAACGTAAAGTGTGTACCATGGAGGTGAACAGGATGCAACGCATTTGAAGTTAGTGTGTGGAATTCTAATGAAGAATCAGATGTTGACTTTGAAAGTGAGGACGACGAGAAGAAAAGTGTGCACCCTCATCAAATGATATCATAAAGGAGATCTACGACCGAAAAGGGAGAGAGGGAAACGTCATCTCTAGGTATTCCAGAATCGAAAAAAACAGCTCAAAGACGGTCAGCGGTCAGACACTTTGACTAAATCAGAGTTACTGAGTCGTCGTTACACTCGTTCATTCATGGCGGCATATAATATTTTTAGAAACGATAGGATCAAAATTTCTCTGCCCTTGAACGTGGTTGTAGTGTTTTCATTGTCATCCAACGTCATATTTATACTGATTCAATACCCATTCATGATAGAGGTAGTTCTCGTCAGAAACAAAGGTAGTGTAGGATGTAATTGTTGGTCGTGTATACATGACGATGCTCACATCATACGGGACATATTTTAGTCTACTTACAACGCTCACATACGTTAACAACAAATTGAATAACGCCAAGCTGGTACTCGTAGGGTATTATAATTTGATAAGTGACATCTGCGGTGAATACTGATGAAGCTTTTATGACATGGTCTGATGATGATGATCTCACCCGCTGTGTTCTGCTACTTAATCAATAGCAATCATCCGATCAAAGTAAAATCCAACGGATTTTAAGTCAACCTGAATAACTTTAAAGGCAATTATGATGATTTTCTCAAACAGTTTTTTAATCTGAAACAAATAAAAGTGCCGGACTTGATTTGATACCAAATATCTTCCCAACGAATGGTGCTACAGGGCATAAAGAGCCGGAAGGGTTCAAAATATATTCTGTTAGGCGTTGTCGTTCCTGCCATCATTAAGACCGCAGAAACTTCCCACGCTCTTGCTTTAAAGTTAACAATCTAATTCACTGACCTACTGTTTTTGTAGTGAATGGTCAAGTTATTGCCCCTGACACTACACAGTTTTGAGTCTATTCCCTTTGGATTCTATTGTAGACATCTATGCCAATTAAAAACGATGAAAATCCAGAAAAACTATGTATTCAACGGACGCATAATAGGATTGCTAACCTTGTCAACTCTCTTCACACTCACATCACCAAAAACAGATTATTTTCCTATCGTTAACTAATGAATAACTTATGTTTAATTATTTTAAGTGGCGTACTCGTATGATGTATATAGCCTATTTACGTCTCTTTTTTATACTTTTACAACATGTTGCTACAGTGTATAGTACAGATATAGGCTTGTTCACTTAACGGTTGTTAGTATTACCTAAAACTAATCAAGATAGATATGGAGTTAAATATATATAAATAATTAGGATAAAGAGACGTGTTGAAATTCTGGTGACTGGCTCTCCTTCCAATCGTCTGTCCCTGCAAGCGATAACTTGAGTAAAAATTGAGATATCTTGATGAAACTTGGCACACATGTTTCTTGGCAACCAAGGGCAGTCGGTATTGCAGATGGGTGTAATCGGACCACTGCAACACCCAAAAAACGCCATTAAACGAAAAACTATAAAGTGCAATAACAAAGTTTTTTATTAAGAAACCAAACTGTGATTTGGTACAGAAAATCGCATTAGCGAGGGACATCTGTGGACTAAAATATTTTTAAACCTGAGCGGAGCCATACCCCCTAACTGGTTGAATGTACATATCCAAACTCGTTAAATTTACATATCTTCCAAATTGCTAAAGCCAACTCTTCATACACTTTGAAAATCGGTAAAATCAGATAATAACCACGCCCTAAAGTGCGAAAACTCACTGAATAAATGCGTCACAAGCATGCGTGGCACCGCCCACCTTTGGGTGTAATCCCGTATCTAAAGAACTACTTTACCAGTTTTTAACAATTTGATTATCCAAACAATCTAATTATACACAATGAAAATGGGCGAAATAGCATGACAACCACGCCTATTTACCATACATCAATGTTTAAAATTTCTTTTAATTCTTTTACTTCCACGTATACAATTAAACATCAATAAACGGCAAAAACGTGGGCCCAATCATATACCTTCGGCCGTTTTTCTGACTTCAAACTAATGGTGCTCGCAAAAAGTGGAGAACTTATAGACATTGCTTATGTGGGACAAGAAAAGAAAAGGTTTAACGTATGATATTCAGGGTTGCGAATTTTTTAATTCAAAAATAAAATAAATTTTTTTAATTCCGATGTTGGAATTAAAAATTAGATTTTCATTTTTTTATCCCGATGTTGGGATTAAAAATTAAATTTTCATATTTTAATCCAAGATGTTTGGGATTCAAAGTGGAAAATATTACTTTTTGATTTGAATGAATGCTAAAAATTGTTAATCCTTAAGCAAATTTCTTTTTTAATTCTTAATTATATGCTTAAGATTAAAATGTTCTTTTTTTCTATCCGAAAGTTTTTGGGATTAGAATTTGATTTAATTTTTAATCCCGCAGTTGGGAAAACGGTTTTGATCGATTTGCGGTGAGCCGATGCTAACGGTGGCCCAGACATAATTGATGGTAAGAAAGGTTTGCTGTTCGGTGAGACTAGGAGGAAATTATCTACAATGATCTGCTTCCCTCAGACTTTAAATTTGGCTTGTTTGGGATATTTTTATGCATCCAACTTATAGTTTGGATCTGGCATTAAGTTGCACCTTTCTACTTGTTCATTTTTATGGCGAATGATTTTGCTGATGAAAACTTCGCAAAATTATACCTTATATGTCAAATTGATCGCGATGACGAGATGAGTCCGCCCGACTGTCTATCCATCATTACAAGCGATACCTTGAGTAAAATTTGAGATATCTTGATTCAATCTTAAATTCCATTTAATTCTTTCACTTTCCACTATAGATGCACAAATGAAGATCTCAAAATCAAACATTGTACAAACAGTGCATTGACACTTGTGTGGCACTTCCATGCTTAAAAATCAAATGTGAGAAGCTCTGGTATGGTTGATTTATACCGAAAATATGATACCAACAACCTGAAAATATTATACCACCTTTTATGAGATTAGGGAATATTTTACAAACGTGTTCGAAGGAGTTGCTGTATTTTCCATATCTTATTCTCAACCATTTGTTTCCTTCCGATTCTACAAAAGTTGAAAGACGATTTTTTTTAGCAAGTTAAGTTTTTATCGTCAATGTCGAATTGCAAGATTTTAACTGAAGTTGAGCTGTAAACCGTAATATGGGCGTAAAAATTCACGCTCAGGTGTTCTACATTCAAACATTTCATAACGCTTATTACAATACACATTAGGTAATAACTATATTATTATATTAAACATTATCTTTCAACGCGATCGTCATTTGTTACACGTTTCTTCATAACTTTTCAAGCAGCGCATTGTAATCGGTTTTTCCTTTGCAGGTTACTCTTTTCTTGTCACATGGATAACATCCTTTGTTATGGTCATAGTTCACGAGCGTGTGCCTGATATGAAGCGTTATCCGCCATTACCGGATATATTTCTCGACAATGTACCACACATACCATGGGCATTTCATATGTGTGAGATAACAGGCACATTATTGTTTATGATTTGGTGCTGTGTTTGCATCTTCCACAAATATCGCCTTGTTCTTTTACGACGTTTCTTCGCACTTGCTGGAACAGTATTCTTACTACGATGTGTCACAATGTTGATAACATCTTTAAGTGTACCAGGCACACATTTGCAATGTAATCAAAATGATTACGCAGTTGACGATACCGAGTAAGTAGATTCAATTTACATTTTAAGACTAAGGTTGTAACTAAATATCTATTATGCATATTGTATGGTTAATATTTAGTTATCTCAGTCATTTTATCTTAACTAGTCTGTCTTTAATTTTCTAAGCGTTGTAGAGTAGTAAATCGATCAAACTATGCCAGTTGTTTAAACAAACTGGCAACACTTGCGTTGCAACCCTTCGTTAACATGTCCTTCGACGCATGCGCAATTGTTTTGCTCTACTTCTCAGGAGGAGTGTTGAACAGACTTGAATAATTTTTAGAACAGATTATTATCAGGAAAAGATGCCTAAAAATTTCAAAAATATATCTCACTGATTAACCAATATTTTCGGTAAAAAGTCATACAGACAATTTTTAGAGGTGCCACATTTTGAAAGCAAGGAAAGATTTGTTCAAAGTTTTATTCCGATATCTTTATTTATATTTGATTTATCTTTTGAAAAATGAATGCAGCTGATGGAGTTTAAAATTGTGTTACATGAGAAGTCTGAGTACTTGGTTGTACTCCGTTTGTATAAAATTTCAAAGTGTCAAGGTAATTTTACACACTTTTTGGTCCCACGACCATTGATACATTTAATAATGATTGCTATTTCTTTAAAGTTTCACTAAATATTGGTAATTTGCTTGACTAATTTTCACTATGTTGCACAGAATACTTATAATATCTTTGTTCACGTAATGGTTTTTGTGGCACCTTAAAGTAATAGAGTTGGATATCGATTTTCAAAAAGTATTTAAGAGTCATCGAGTTTGGAAACGTTCCTGAATAAAAAAAAATTAAGTATACATATGCCCTTTAAATACTGTAGGCTACTGGTCTTGATCAGTTGTCTGAATTTGACATTTAATTTTAATATAACGGGATGGTTGTAATAGATAATAAAAAGAAATGGCGACTAGCTACTCTGTCACCTGTAATTGGTAGCTGATGTTATACATAAGAAAAAATTTGGTAGACAATAGGGTGGAGCTTGAAGGTAAAATTTGTAGATTATAAGAAAGAAAATTTTTGAAAAAAAATCAAAATTTTTTATTTCGTAAAAATTTTTTGATAAGTGTTCTAAAAACTGTGGAGAGTCCGCTTTCTGGCTAATTAAAAGTTATCAACTTAAAAAAAAAATTTGTAGTCATTATTGCAGTTTAAAAAAAAGTCTTAAACGAAACATGCTTTCCTTAAGCGTTAAAATAAATTTTGAGTCAAAAACGGTAACTTTTATATAAATGTGAATATTTTTTTTTGTCCAAAATTTACTTTAAAAGTTAGTGGGCCGATGTTAAAATTTTTTTTTTCTAAAAATTTTCTTGAGTTATAATCTACAAGTTTTACACTTAGGCTAATCAAAAAAGAAAAAAAAACAGGTTTCGCTCCACCCTAGTGGACAACCATATTACCGGCTGCTATCCTATATATTAGAGGTATTAATTATGTTGAAGATAATGGAAATTGATGATATGTTAAAATGTATTTGGATACAATTTTTTTTGTATTGATATATGTGTATAAAATTAAGAATGAAAATCATTCTTATTGTTTTTGTCTACTCTGATGTCTAATTCAATTAAAAATCTAATGAAACTATATTTATGGTAAATAGCATCAAGCTCATTAGGAATATTGATTTAATTTTAACTTTTTACTCAAAAATTAAACAAATGTTTGCTTGTTTTTCTAGTCTATCTATAATCGAAGCTTTGCAGTTACGTATTTCTCGTGCCTATACGATTTGGAGTGGGCTTGGCATGTCTATTCAAGGTGTTCGTACATGTGGTGACTACATGTTTAGTGGACACACAGTGGCCCTAACTCTTTTAAATTTTTTCATTACAGAATGTAAGTAAATATATTCCTTATTCCTTTATATGAAAAGTTACTGCAAAAATCGCATTATATTGAGTATCTTAGAACGCTTAACCTTATTACCTTTAAGCTTTAAGCTTTATGTTGACAAATGGTCTTTAATCAGATAAAAAAGCAAGTTACAGAAATCACAGGAAACTTATGTTTAAATCGGCTCTAGTAAAAATTAAGCCATTAGTTTTGCATTAAATTGAAGGTTTTATTTAGGATAGTTAGAATCATATCCACTGTTATGTTCGATAACTCCATTTTCAGATCACTTCATAATGTTACTCTCATAGAAATCTTAATGATTTGTAAATTTCAATTCTGATGAACAAAGTATAAATACTATTTAACATAGGAAAAGGCTACAACATCACCAAATTCGCTCTAAAAATCTATGTAGAAATACTTGAAGACATAGATCTTAGCGAAAATCTCGAGGTAAGGTCTGTTGAACAAAGTATAAATACTGTTCAACATAAGACTAGGTTATAAAATCCTCATATTCGTTCTGAAAAGCAAACTTGGAACACTACCGAGCATAAAGAACGTCGCGAAAGAAATCCTGACTATAGAAATTTAGAGCGCTTACATGTTTAAATATAAAGGAAACATGAAAGAAAAAATTTTGAAATAAAGAGAGAAGCTTATGCAAAGGAAGAAATTTTGAATCAAAGACGTCATTAAACTCAGAACTGCCTTTATAGAGATAACCTAGTTAATAAGCAAATTAAAATCGAACGTCAATCCCAACGAATTAGAGTAAAGAGAAAAAATAATGTTATAGAAACTGATTATAGTGGCAATTTGACTAATTTAAAGAACATTTATTTTTAAATTTAAAAAAGGGCTCAACCGAAAGATATTATCTAACCAAGTTACGGTTCGAAATCTATTAAACGAAAAAAATGTTCAAGGTTTTGAAAAGGCTTCTAACCTTCTTTATAACTTAATCGGCTGCTGAAACTCAGTGGATTGAGCTTTCGGTCATTCTGTCTAAAAATGTTAAATCTAAAGATATTTCGGTAGAGGAAGCCAACATTTTAAGAATTCAAGATAGGTATCGCCTAATTCGGTCAGATGCGGTTACTTGTGCTAGATATTTTGGCCACTCTTATCTACAGATCCTTAAGCTTTTTAAAGATAATGTCAGGATTTGTTGGACTTGGTGGAATGGTGAAGATTCAACAAATAATGACACGGAATCTAAATGTAATATTAGACTAATAAACCAGCTCCTTTAATTCCGGTTGAGGATATACACAATGCATAATAAATTCAGCTTTTTTTGTTCGTCATTGAATTGACTAATTTTTGTGCAATACTTTAAGCGTATATAAATGTAATATTAGACTAATAAACCAGCTTCTTTAATTCCGGTTGAGGATATACACAATGCATAATAAATTCAGCTTTTTTTGTTCGTCATTGAATTGACTAATTTTTGTGCAATACTTTAAGCGTATAATGTAGTACAGTATTATAATAAATGTATGCTAATTCATTAATATATTTTCTCTACCAAAACAGATACACCCCGAAACTTGTACTTTTTGCATACTATGACCTGGCTTTTAAATATGTTCGGTATATTTTTCATTCTTGCTGCGCACGAGCACTATTCAATAGATGTGTTTGTCGCTTTTTACATTACATCCCGCCTTTTTCTTTATTATCACACACTGGCCAATAATCAGGTGTGTATTATATTATATTATGTATATATATATATATATATAGAAATTATATAATTTTCATTTATTGAACAACAGGCGCTAATGTCACACGATTCAACACGAACTCGCATCTGGTTTCCGATGTTCAGTTACTTTGAGAGTTCTATTGATGGAATCGTTCCGAATGAATTTGACACCATCGGAGCTCTCTTTGGTTGCCTCTGCCAGCTTGTCTTGAATTTTAAAGACACTTGCATGTTATCAGCTCGTCGTATTTGGATCGAAGGACCACAAAATTCATTGAATAGTGAAACTTTACCATCGCTGTCGAACGTACCGGATTCACTAAAACTTTTAAAGAAACAATCGCAAACCCGAGAAGGCATTGGAACATTGATATCGGGTAATGCGTCCAACATACGGACTCCGTTACAATCGCAAACACGAGAAGATATTGGAACATCGATATCAGCCAATGCATCCAACACACTGACTTCATCACAGCCTTTTTTTGACGTAAGCAAGAAAATGACGCATGGAATTTTAAGGTCATTCGAATCGGCTTCTGAAAATCCTTTAACAAAAACATCATCATCAAGCAATAGCATTCAGGGGGATAAGAAACATCAGTAATTAACAAACAATCTCAATCATGCACAAATTGGCATTTATGGTATTTAAAAAGTATTTCCAACGATAATAAATTAAATTAAGTTCTTAAGTCGCTGCATTCCTTATATTCAGTTTTGCAAATACATCAAATGTGCGTACATAGCTTGTATAAATGTGGAGTCCTATTTATCAATGGTAAAGGTCATCCCTAACCGTTATTACAGATTTCCATATAGAGTATATTCGCCTTACTATGTATTTAAGAATCTGCAACGTGTGAAAATGAAATTTATTTGAGCAATATACTTGTAATGGTTTCCATCTACTAATATATGAATGTTTCCTAGTATATCAATCTTGCAACATGTTGCTACAGAGTTTAATAATTTTGTTCACATAACGGTGGTTTGCATCACCTAAAACTAATCTAAAACAAGTAAGGAAGTTCTAAGTTCGGGTGTAACCGAACATTTTATACTCTCGCAACTTGTAAGGATTAAAGCCGGAAAATTACTTCAAGTGTTGACAAAATTTTATATTAAAGGAAGTATTGATCCGATTCAACCCATTTTTGACACAAAGACATAGTAGGTTTCGAGATTTTAATTAATTTAGTTTATTATATGAATTTCAATTACATATCTTACATATTGACCAATATTTTCTGTAAAAAGTCAACTTTAGGCACTGGGGTCCACATATTCAGTACCTAGGAGCTTGAACACTTTTGGTTCAATTTAGACAATTTTAAGTCACAAGGTGGCATATTTTAAACGCATTATTTACCCCGAAACTTTGCTTGATTTGCATAGTGGAAAGAGAGTGGAAAGAGAAAGAATCAGATGGAATTTAAAATGGTGTTATATGTGAAATAGGCGGGCTTGTAATTTTCGCACTATAATATAGAAATATGAAAAGAAAGTTATGTATCGAATTTGGTTGAAATCGGTTAAGCAGATCTCAAGATATGGGTTTTCATCTAAAAGTGGGCGGTGCCACGCCTACTGTCTAATTTTGAAGTCGATTCCTATAAAATCATCTTATACCATCCCAGAGATAAAATTTAATGCCTCTGGCTTATTTAGTGCTTGATTTATCGTGCTTTTAGTCGTTTTTAACAGTATCGTTATATGGGGAGAGATATGTACATTAAACCTATTAAAGGGCGAGACCACGCCCACTTAAAAAAAAAAAAAATTTAACTGCAGATGCCCCTCTCTAATGTGATCCTGTATACCAAATAACAGTCTTGTATCTTATTGTTTAGCTTAGTCAAAATCAAACATCAATAAAGTTATCAGAATAAAACTTTGTATAAATAGTGCCCTCACGGTATATCATCTAAGTCCAAACATTTCCAAAATCGAATTATAATTTAAATATAAATCGAATTAAAATAAAATATTAAAAATGGGTAAAATCAGGACATAAATATTTTCGAACTTCCGGTTCACTTGATACCGCATCTATCGGTCAATATATACAACATTTTAATGAAATTTTCTAATAACATCGTAACCTTTTGCCTTAAATGGTTGAAATCATGACGATACTTTTCCTAGTTTAATACAAAGTTTTGCCAACACCTGGAGATATTTCCGAGTCTTTGATTCTTCCATGTTGCAAGTGTATAAAATGTTTGGTTACACCCGAACTTAGCCCTTTCTTATCTGTGAAATTAGTGGTTTTTCCTGGGCAACGTTATGGTCCTATATTTTAGATATGAGGTGACTTAAAGACAGTATTTATGCAAAGTTTTATTCGTATATTATTTACATATTTACTCTAAAGTGAAAAAATCAGTTGGAATGAAAATTTTCTTATATGGACAGTAGATAGATAGATAGATAGTGATTGAGGTATGCACCGCGACCTATGGTCTATTGTGCCCTCCCCTAAGTCACAGCGACTCATCTAGCCCTAGCGTATTGATGAATTCCAATATACTGCTAGGCGCCAATGAGGCGATGCCATCCCTGTTTGGAAACATGGATCCCAGGGCCTTGACTCTACGTCTGCAGACAGCTGTGCAGTCCATTAGTAGGTGTTCTGGGGTTTCCGACTCCATGTCGCAGAACCGGCAGTTTGCAGAGGAGACCAAGCCCATGTTAAATAAATGCTTGTTAAGCCTGCAATGTCCGGTGTAGAACGCGACCAGAAGTCGAAATTTGTTCCTTGGGAGATTGATTACGGTTTTAAACCGTCTGAGGTTATAGCCCCCCATTAACAACTTGGCATGGCGCATGCCTTGAAGATGTTGCCAATGTCTCTCCCTGCCTGCTCTTTCCTCTCTACGGAGCAACTCCTTAATGGTATGTGGACCCACCGCTACGCACGGTTCTGGTCCTACCATGTTTGTAGAGGCTGCAGAGCGGGCCAACTCGTTAGCAAGTTCATTTCCTGCTATACCCCTGTAACCAGGCACCCAGATGAGGTGCACTCTGTTGAAACTTGATAGGCTGTTCAGCCGTTTTATACACTCCTGCACTAGCAGCGATTTGACCTCAAAAGCCGAGATCGCTTTAAGTGCCGCCTGACTATCGCTGAGTATGGCGATGCTCTTATTGCGGTAGTCGCGTTGGAGGTTTATTTCTACACACCGACTTATAGCATATACCTCCGCCTGGAATATGCTAGGAAAACTTCCCATGGGAATGGAGAGCTTGGTGCGTGGTCCTGCGACCCCTGCGCCAATCCCCTCCGCCGTTTTCGAGCCGTCGGTGTACCACTTGATAGTACTGTTCTTTAGTAGTAGGTCCAGCGTGGAATCGTTCCATTCTGCCTTGCTACCAAGGGTGATCCTGAACTTCCTAGTGAAGCTTACTGCTTTGGTGATGCTGTCCCTTGGAAGAAGGGCCAGTGGCATTGCGTCACTTAAGGCCTTCATCTGCTGGGACGAGATTACCTTCCCTTTGCCAGACCCTTCTGCTGAAATTTGAAGCAAGGTCTGTTTGGCCGTCTGCTCGATCACTATATGTAGCGGTGTTAGCTCCAGCATTACTTCCAGTGCTGCAGTCGGACACGTACGCATCGCGCCCGACGCGCAGATACAGGCAAGTCGTTGCAGCCTCGATAGTCGAAGTCCTACCGAGATAATTAATTGCTAGAACTGTGCCGGTCTTGCCCCTAGCCAGAGCCTTATGCAGCCTTGCAGCCTCTGGCGTTGAGGAGACACTTTCACAGAAATTTCTGAAGCTCTTCTGTTTTGCTGACCTGATCTCCTTGTTGTAAGCAGTTAGGCCGCACCTATAGTTCTCCCAGTCCCCGGTACGCTTAGCCCTGTTAAATAGCTTGCGTACCGTTTTCCTTAGGTCTATGAGCCTGCTTGACCACCAGGGACAGCTGCGGTTCTTGGTGGTCGTCTTTAAGGGGCAGCTACTGTTGTATGCTTCTATAATGGACTGATTTAGCGCAGACAATCTGCTCTCCAGTCCAGAAGCAGTGGCACTGCCGTCAAGCTGCCCCCTCCTATTGAGATAGATTTCAAGCGTATCCTTAAAGGTGGCCCAGTCCGTGTTTTTGGGGATACGCCTGGGAGGGGGTTGCCTAACCTCTACCCCTAGTGCGAACCTTATGATGCGGTGATCCGACATGGAGGGTTCCGATGACACTCTCCACTGCTCGATCAGCCCTGTCATGAGCTCGTTACCAAAGGTGATGTCAAGCACCTCCCTTCTTACGCTGGTTATAAAGGTGGGTTCGCACCCCACGTTAACAATACTTAGATTACTACTTACTATAAATTCAAGTAAAGACTCACCCCGTGCATTGCAGTCCGTGCTGCCCCATTCGGTGTGATGGGCGTTGGCATCACATCCCATGACAAGGGGCAGGTTGTTCCTCCTGCAGTAATCCACGAGGCTCCCGACGGCCTCTGGGGGTGCTGTCATCGTGTCTCCCGGAAAGTAGGCCGCTGCCAGGACGAAGTCCGCTCCTTCGTTACCTTTTGCCTGCACAGCGACAAGGTCTTGTGTTAGGAACTCTGAAATACAGAAGTAATCAATATCGTTCCTAATTACTATACAGGTTCTGGGTCTCTCGCTTAAGAGATCCCAGATTACCTTGCTATTCACCATTTTGAGGCCCCTGACCTCTCCTTTGTAGATCCATGGCTCCTGGATCAGTAGAATGCCCAGACCGTCCGCTGTGAACCTGCTCGCGATGACGGCCGAGGCCGACGCCGCGTGATGCAGGTTCCCCTGGGAAATTTCAATATTTGGACCCATTAGAGGATCGGTTCCGTGAGGAGCTCCTCATCTTCACCGTCCTCCGCGTTTCCACCCGCTGGTCCCTAAGTCCCTCGAGAAGCTCTTGCGTGGAGGGTAGCGCCCCCCCTTGTTCGCCAGCCTTCTCCGTAGGGACCTTCACCGTGGTTTCGGCAGTTGCCGCTTGCTCCGCCGTGCTGATGTCGGGATGAGTCGCACCTTCATCAACCTGCATTTTTTCCGCCGCTTCATTTTTGGTGACCGTCTTGGGCTTAAATGGCCTCAGGACCACCGAACTGAATCTGTAATTCAGTCGGAAGCTCGCTCTCCTGACGAATTTATACGACTCGTCGTCGATGCAGAGATTGAGCTTCCACCCTGAATCCTCGACCGTGCTGGTAACTACTTTCCAGGCCGATATGCTTAGGCCCACGTTCTGGTTCTGTATGAGCCCGAGAGCAAACTCATATGGCTTACCTGCGCACCTGGGGAGAAACACTGTCATGCTGTGCATGGGTGGTATGTCTTCCCCCTTTTTTGCGCAGAGGACGGGGCCCTTCCAGCCTTCCAGCTTGGGAGCCGACTCCCTTAGCCAGTCGGCAGACCTCTCGTCCTTGCAGTCCACCTGAAACATGCCTCCTTTGAAATATACTCCATGGAATGAGGCTTTATATCCGGATCCTCTGAATATTTCTTCCATGAGCAGATTTTGGAGCACAGTGAGCTCCTCCGACCCCAGTGTCTCCGCCGGGTAGTTTAGAGGCAGCACAGCCATGCGAATGCCTTGGAGAGCATCCGCATATCTGCGCTGTCCCTCCACCACTCGGGGGGGGTTTGGGGCGGAGTTGTTGCCTCCGGTCCCCTGTGCGTTGCTTCCTTTCTGTCGCTTGGTGTTTGGCGGCTCCTGTGGCGTTAGTTGCCCACTCTTGCGCTTTGTGGCTTGGGTGGTCGAAGGCGCTGCTCTTTCGCAACCACGCCTTGCGGCCTGAGTTGCGTTAACCGGGCGTTGGCTTCGATTACCGCTGCTCTTTTTACTGCTCGTCGCGGTTTGCCACCCTTCCGCTTCTCCGAGACAGGGGAGGCATTGTTTCCTCTCACCCTGTTGCGCGCCAACTTTTCGGCTTCCTCCGGAGTCTTCCGGAGGTGATCCTGCTCGGGGGAGCCTCTTTGGGGTTCGCTTTTTCACCGCCGGGCGCAGTCAATTTCACCTGCTGAGCGCCGCTGCACGAGGGCATGTCGTCATCGTCCGCCCTTGCATGCTCCTCGAACAGCGCCCGCTCTTCTGGCGAAAGGGCGTCCAGGAAGCTAAACTTTTGTTTAGCCCCTGAAGCTCCCTTACCTGCACTGGCGCTGGTCTTCTTAGCCTTGTCCTTGTCCGTTTGCTGTTGTTGTTGCCCGTTTGTTTCCGTTGTTGAGTTATTTGTTTTTTGTTTTGTTGTCTCCATACAACGGCCTTATTCTCGACATGGCGAGCCGTCCGGTCTACGTTTTGTGAGGGGAACGCGAAAGTCCACCGCGCCAGAGCCCCATGACGCGGTAAGGCCACCGTTACTTCCCAATGCGGCCCGGTGTTGGGAAGGCTCCGTTAGAATACAGCCGAATTTACCTCCTGGCTGCAAATCATCCAATGAGCACGGGAGTCGCATAACACCCTGGATTAGGAGGTGGCAGCTCTTGGTTGTCGCACGCATGCGGCTTCTGACAACCCGTGTGAGAGGTGCTGAGCAGCACTTCTCGCATTGGTTGGGAGATGCCGAGAATGCCTTGCGACGACCTTAAGCCTGCACCACGGCAAGGTGCCTGCCATTCGCAGGAGTATATGGACAGTAAGTAATAAAATTTCTTATATGGCTGTACCGACTTCGCCCATTTGCCCACGTAACATAAGTATGCCTGGGTAATGTTATACACCTAATTTGGTTAATAAGACGAGTAAGTAATGAAATGTGGTATTTCACATAAAATGGGCGATGTCACACGCATTACTAAATTTTTTTTCGATTTCCATGCAGTTCCCTGTGTTATCCTTACTGAGAAATATAATGCTTATGATCTGATTTTTTCAACAGTGAGTTAACGCACATTTCAGTAACTGTTATATGGGTTTTGGGCGTGATTATCATCTGGTTTCAGCCTTTTCTCCGTATAGTAAAGTGCAAAAAGACTTGTTCCACGAAAGTTTGGTTAATGTAGCTTTAGTTTTTTGTGAGATATGTTCATTAAATCTATTAGAGTAGGTAATCATTGCTCAATTTTTAAAAAATTTCCCTTAGATACACCTTCCAGCTTCGATGACATGTACCAAATTAGTTTTACCAGCTTGGTGTCTTGAATTGTGGCTTAATTAGAGCATTTATAGTTTTTGATTAACGACATTTTGTGGGTGTGGCAAAGATTCGATTTCGCCCATCTGCGATACCAACTTTCTCAAAACGCCAGTAAGTTACCGCTTTTCCGAACGGACGGATGGACAGACACTCGCTCGGAGTTCAACTCGTTTCGTTACCCCGATAATTCTGATATATTGAGCTTTAATCTTCCTTGATTAGCTTTATGTGTTACAAACAACCGTTAGGTGAACAAAACCATTAAACTCTGTTGCAACATGTTAGAAGAGAATAAAAGTGTAGTCAAATCATTAATCAAAGTTCTTACTTATAAATCACAAAAAATATCAAAAATGCTACTTATGTTAAGAATTTACACACCAAATGTCTTAGCCAAGCCAAATCAGTTTTATCTCAAACATTTTATTTTAACAAAAGGTGGGCCTTTTCCCTTATAACTCTTTCATAAAAGAAGGAAAGATGCATTTATGTTCAACGGATAAGAGTTCTGCTAGAGAGAGTCTGATTCTAACAGTCCAAAAGTTTAAAAATATTAAAAAGAATATTTTACTATATCTTTCTGTTTAAATTTCAAGCGCAGGCAGAGTGTATGTAGTTTGCACAGGATATTTGAATAGAGTTGAATATAATATTTAGTTGTATCATTTGTTCCTCTGGTAGTTTCTAAACACAGTATAAATTCGCAAGTAATAATATTTTGAAATCCATAAACTTCATAAGTATGGTATATGTGCGATTTTAATAAGCGGCAAGCTATAGGTTCTCATTTAATTTTATTGACATATGTATTAATCAACGACCACTTATCACCAGAGATTTACTAACAGTGTTTAAAATCACCAGAGGCGTGTGAGTCATTATACCATTAGGAGTATTGAAGGAACCCTGATCGAGGTCTGAACTGATTGGATTACTTTTAATTTCATGCTCGAATTAATAGCTGTCTTCGATTGGTAATTTCTCTGCTCGCTTCTGCTCTCTTGTCAAAAATTTACATGTGAAAACAACAAAACTCGTTAAGAGTTGAATTGAAGCAGAAGGATATTCATTAACTTTCTTTATAAACGTATTTCTGCCAGAGAACGTTGTTAAAAGTTCTAATTTTTGCTAAAAAGTAGCGAATACTTAGAAAATGGTGAATTCCCTACTCGTTGTTTTTCAAATATGTTAGCCGTCCAATCGAGCATCATACAAAACTCGATTTGCACCGAGGACTTAAAAGAACGAGGAGGTGCAAATCGTTCTTTTAAGTTCTCTGTAGCACCTTCTCGAAATGTACGTTTACAGATTCGTTTATTTACAAT